CTGTACAGGGCCCTGAACATGCACTACAATAAAGCAAATGATTTTGAGGTAGGCACCGATCTTTGTTTCTGTGTGTGTGAGTCGCTCTGTGGTCCAGGCTGCCTTAAAATAATGTACCTTTTTGTTGTGGCCGTGACCGATGGAATCTGGGCATTCCACGTCTCTGAATGATGCTAATTAATCTTTTTAGCCCTGGTAGCTGGAGACTTACGGCTCACTAGGATTTGACAAGAGATAAAAGTTTTCACTTTTTTTGATAAGTTTCTTAGTTTCAATTTTTTGAAGTTTCCTTTAGGAGGGATGGTAGTGAAAAAAGTCACCTCACAGCTCTTCTAAAGCTCCGTAATTGCGTGATCAAACACTTGCAGTTACCTTCCTCTGCTCTCCTTCATTTGATTTATAGAACTAAAATGCATTTGCTTTGTCAAGCTGCAGGATAAAATGACTACTCGAAGTAAATGCTCTCTGTTTTCTGCTGTAACGGGTTTGTGGCTTTGATTAAGATTCCTGTTTACAGGCCAGCCTGGTAGCTCAGCAGACTATTGTTATCATTAACATGCTGACCCTCGGCGATACCACGGGAGAGTGTTTCTCCCTGCTGAGGATGGCAGTTTGTATTGTTCAGGTAGTCAGATGTAATGATGCATTTGAGCAGGGTGTGCGTGAGGGGGAGGCTTGAGTAATCCCATCTCTTGGTGAAGTGGAGTGGGAAAGCGATGGTGCTACTAATTATTAATTTTTTATTTTTTTTTCCCTGCACCTTCCATTTGGGGTCTTGTTACATAATGAGCCCCCTCCTGTAGCAAAAAGTGACATTTGTCGGCATAAGGAGTGTGGTTTCCTGCCTAAAATCCTTCTGAGGGATTTTTAGCAGTGCTTATTTTCACAGCACATAAGTTCAGATGATGTAAAAAAGTCTCTAAGCAAAGATGTTCTTGTCTCTGTCAGCTCCTTCCCCCTCTTCTGGGCATACAGAGTTTTCTGGGAGAATGGTTGCATGAAAGGAGCAGATGAAGAAAGAGGGAGGAAGAGAATGTTCCTCGAGGGGTTTGCCATTCATTGCAGCTGATAACGACATCCAGACTTCATTGTTTGGTGTGCTGTGCCCCCCCCCAGCCCCTCCTGAGGGCTCTGGCCCTGTTAGGTACTCCCTCATGCACAAGACAGGAGACTCCTGCCCTGGGAGGTGGATCTGCCTGTATGCCAAGGCATAATAGCTAAATACAGGAAAAGATAAGGAAATACATAAGGAGATAAGTGTAACCAACTTTTTTCTGTCACAGTGGGCTTAAATTCCCTCAATCTTTTTTTTATTTTTAACACAACTTTCCTGTTTGCAGAACATAGGTTGAAATGTTCTTTACCCTCAAAAGTTCTCATATCCCTGATGATTTCAGGCACTTATTACTCCTTTTCAAAGCATTACTTGCAGCGTTAATGTAAATGGATTACTTCAGTGAAGAATTATGGGGAGCATATAGGTGTTTTCAGGTAGACAAGTAAATATACGTCTCATATGTTTAGCACTGCTAGTGACTGCAGTCTCCTCTTCTTGGCCAAGAGGTCTAGCAGCTGGTAGGAAAGAGGCCCCTTGGGGTTTTTTTCCCCCATTATGGAGGAAAAGAGATGTTATAAATGACCATGATTTGCAAATTCTTTCACTCAGTCTTTCTTGTGTTATCTATATATGATGAGAATTTCCTAGAGATTTAAATCTTGGTTTTGCACTGAAGATCCAACAGTTATGAGATCATTAAACTGTACAGTGCAGTGTTTAATGTAGCCAGTGTAACTTTTCCTGATAAATGCCCAGTCCCTCCCCCACAAGCTGCAAAGCAAAAATTACAAGTACTGTAATGTTGAAATTGGATCCAAAAGGATTTAGCAAACTGAGCATTTGCCATATTTAGCATCATCAAAGTTCCTTCCTCTCATACTTCAATGATGCTTTGCTGATGTGATTAGTCTGATATGCTGTTTCTCTTAAATCACCTACACTGCTATTCTTAAACCCTCCCACTTTACCTCTTCTTGGGTGAAATTTGTGCATATACATTACTACTCCTAAATTGACTATTAGGAAAAAATAATAAAGCTAAAATGTGCATTTGGTCTGTATCTGGCTGTGCCATTGATTTGCTCAGGAATCTGTGATACTGTGTTCCTTTCCCTGTGCATTGCAACTGACAGCTTGTAGCAAAGTCAAAGAAGATGTTTAACAAACCACATCTCCTGTCGTTTTTAGCTTTGCCATTGTACCCCTGTGGCTGTGAGCCAGACACAGATACAATTCCTCCTCCAGTGCGATGCAACTTTGCCTGTGTTTTATGTGCACATGTGTGTGTATGTGTGTAGTCAGTTCCACATTTCTCTCTCTTGCAGTAGGGTTAGCTGGAGAAACCTGTGCTGAGATGCACAGAGCAATTTGAAACTGAGTTTAGGAAGAGGGGGAAAAAAAAAGCCCACTGTGTTTTTTTGTGGAAAGTAAAGATGCTTCTCTGCTCTTGGGCTGTTCTTCCAGGGAGGGAGAAGGTGGGTTGTCTTGGTAAATGAAAGCCACAAATGTCAATATCCCAGAAAAAATTCTGAAGCTGGTCAGAAAGAGAGGACAGCTTGCTGTGCCACTTGATATCTGTCTCATCTGTGGTGTTGCCATAGGCTTTTGAGTGCCAGCTGCAATAAGTCAGGTATTGTTGCTATGCATTAAAAGGAAAAAAAAAAACACAAACCCCAAATAATTTTGTAACTCTTTTTAAAAATCCATCCTAACACAGAACATCAGAGCTCACAGTTGTGACTGTGGCAGGATGATTTCAAACAAGGGGGACACGATGCTGTGAGTTAAAATAAAAATATGGTTAAAAACCATATATAAGACTTCTCTCCCCCCCACTCATTTAAGTACTTACAGCCAGCAAAAGAAATTGGTCTGAGGACAATACCTGGATTTTAGCCTTGCTTTGACTCCCACTACTCCTCCATCATCCTTGTTCCATGGCATTTTTTTGTAGTTAACCGTCAATTTTCCATGTATTAACGTCTCTCTGCACGATGCCCATTCCTTTTCCGTGTGGGCATTTAACGACTCAGTCTTAGTTCTGAAGTCTCAGGGTCTCTCTGTGCTAGCGATTTCGCTCTGTGCCCTCCTGCCTACTCCTTACACTCGCCTCGCTCCTCTGCATAGCGAGCAAATGAGCACCAAAGCAAGCCCCCACGCACGCCATCTTTCTGAGCTCAGCCTGCCTGCTGCTTCACGGGAACTTGCCTGATTTTGCAGACGTAGTTATTGAGATTGATCACAATAGTGAAATGTCTGCCAAGCTGCGTTATTTGCACAAATACACTGTATGCAGTTTTGGTATAGTGGGGCTTGACGCGATGATTGCCTCTTTTCATAGCGCTAGTTACGGCACGTGTCATCATTTCGAAGGGAGAGAAAACCATTTTTTAAGAAGTTAGCTCTGCTTTTGGCAGGGAAAAAACATATTAGTGGGAAAAACCTAATTAAGACCAGTTGTACTCAAGTCTTAGCAGAATGTTTAACTTAACGGACTCTGAGTTAGTACCATAAAAATCAATGAGATTATGTAAAACAATCCAAATACCACCACCTATAAAGCCTAAGTAATAACCCAGTCACGTAAGCGGCCTATGAACCCTTGAGAGGAATACTGGCTGCCAAAATTTTCAGAAGTGATGATGGTTTTAGGCCAATTCCATTTTGGGATGCTCAACTGGAGATCTATTAATGAGAGCCACTTTGTCAGGAGGTCCTCAACAGTCCATTCCCTGAAAATGAAGTGAGCCCAGCGCTGCATCCAAAAATTAAGACATCCTAAATAATCAAAAATTCTGGCCACTCATGTGCTTATTTTAGGAACCTGTATTCCTCCCCAGTTTCATTTGCAGGATTCATCTTGAACTGAATTGGTGTTCATCAAAAGGAGAATTAAAGCCTCTGAACACAATTCTTATTTAAACTAAGACCACTTACAAGGGGTTTTGCAATACACAGGCACTGTAAAGTACAATTTATAACCACCCTAATACTCCTTTACACAATTGGAGCAGTGCAAAGTGGCCTCAAGAGAAGTGAAAATCAAGTCCGTAACTTACTAACTTCCATCTCAGAGATTGCTCTTTCCATACAAACGGCTCTGCTGTGGCAGTCGCTGCTTTTCTGGTGGTACCAGCAGTGGGCACAGCCTAACGGGACTGTTGTTTCAGTATTAAACTCCTTGCATTTTTTCCCTCAGCTGTATACTTCCTCCTTCAAGGGCTTTATTGTTGTAGCATTTCAACATCGTTCTCAGCATTCTTAAAGACAAAGTCGGAAGGCCGCTGTCTGGTGATCTGCAGCAAGGAAAATAAAGCTGCTTTGGCAATTTGAGAATAGCAAACATAACTATCGTGATTCCTCTGAAGAAAAACTGAAACATAGGTGTCTAAGTGGAACTTTGGTTTCACTTTCAAATCTTGGTTTCAGGAAATTTAATTGATGCCCCCAGGCTTTTTTCCTTCTGTTTTTTAAAAAATTTTGAAGAGGCTGCCTTGTGAAACAGCAGAGCTTTCCTTGAAACTGCACAGGAAATTAACCTGGTTTTTAATCAAGTAACAAAATCCATGGCTTGCCATAGAAGATCCGTGCATTGCATGTATCAATTAATGCTTATTAATCAGTTTTTGCAGTTAGTTGAACTGCAGATTATAGTTGGAAGCTATTAGGGAGAGAATCGCGAGAGGAATACTGTTGCAGGACTACACTCGGTTTTTCTGTTTGTGTCCTTTGGATTCAAGGTGTTTGTATAATGAAGTTGGCACGTTGATATATGATCTATTTTTTAATGTCATTACAATTTTAGTTCCCTCTGCCTTTTTGTCATTGGGTTACATTTAAGCACAGCAAGATCAACTTTAAACTTCCTTACTCAACAGCTTTATTAGTTATAACGTACCGTGACCTTTCTCAACATTCTTAAAGAAAAAGATACAGTGTAATGTCACTTTACTTTGCTTATTGTTCTTTGTTGTGGTGAACAAAGCATTTT